TACTGCCAGTAAATTTGTAATATTTCTTTTTTTATATATAACAGAGCCTTTTAGATATCTCATGAATAATGCATATATCAAAGATTGGTGCATTTGCATATATTTTTCCTGGTCTGATTTAATAAACATTGTATACTTATTTATAAGTAAAATCATTCCTGTATTTGTATTATAGTCAAGCACCTTATCTATAGGAATAATGCCAGCAGAGATAGAAGAATAAAGGAAACAAAACACAATATCGTCAATAGCAACCAATCATGCAAATGGAAAGATAATTGCATAAAATATATAAAGAAACTGTCTTTTTTCAGCAAACATTGAAACAGTTTCCGCCATTATTGTAGCTGTAGATCACTCAAAGTTGTGAATATGGAGTTCATTTTTTTAGTATTACTGTAAAATACTTTATATTTGTTTGGAATTAATTTTCGCTATTTTCACTGAAGAAGTGATTCAGTGAAAATAAAATTCAGCGAATATACCCTTTTTTCTATATCTTACATTCAACATGTCAAAAATTAATGAAAATAAATTCCATACACAAAAATACCTGAAAAGTCTTTTCAGCGAAAATTAATTCCAAAATAAAGTATTTTACAGTATATCAATTGTCTGCTGTCAAGGTTACGCATTCACTGTCGATAATATTACAGATGTTACCGAAGTGATAAGTTTTTGGTCATTTTTTATTTGGGTTGCCATGTTAATTTATTACTTTTGTGTAGCTAATCTTATTGGCTCCTACTGAGTTTGTTTAAATACTCTCAAACCCATTGATGTGTGCCAACCAGCAGTATGTCTTGTGTTCCATTGTAATGTACATTAATCAAAGTGCATACAATATCACCATGGTTACAAGGGTTATTTTTGTTGCAGTGTGATAATATTATTTGTACTTACTAATAAAAATAAAAAATTTGAATTTGATTTGTAATTCCATTAATTTAATAGTTGGTATTACTGGAGTTAAGAAAACATTTCATCAAAAATCTGGGCGTTTTATATGGGCCTTTGTTGAAATACGCTGATCATTTGAGTGGAAACTATTGCTTCCTATTTATTTTCCTTAAGTGGGGTGATTGATTCGTACTACTTGTACTACCAATTAATTCTTGTGCTTTTTATATAGTAACTTCTATTTTTTATAATAAATATTTTTTTTTAATATATCTTTTCTTAGCGTATAGTATTTACAGCGTCTACCTTAAAATGTTAAATTTCTTGTTTAATTACAATCTTTCTTCAGGAATTAGAGAAATACATAGAAAATTTGAAGAAAAATCATCGAGTGGAAATAAATGAGATCAAAGCAAAACAACGTGAAAGCGAACACCAGTTAGAGGAACTACAGCATGAGCATGCTAAACTGAAAATTACATTAAAGGTAGGAAATCCCAACAGAACTAATGGGATAATTTAATATTCCATTGGAATGTAATTGTTTCTTATTAAATGGTTTGTGATTGCTCGATGCGTGCAGTCATGCGCACAACATCTGACTGCACATGCTCAGTGGGCAAATATGTGATGTATGTCAGCTGTGTGCTTGTCATGGTGATGTTATTGTAATTTATGCAATCATGAACTGCAGGGATTACGGTCCTTTTTTAGATCTGATGTCATATACTGTAAAACATGTCCTTTTAGCTAATTTATCTAATCTGTAATTTAGCTGATTCAAGGTATACCGGTAGATAGTTTTTAAAGGAAGTATATTTTCATAATGATTTTGCTAAATTCAAATTCTTTTCAATTCAGGCATTGAGTCAAATTTTAAAATGGCATGCAGTTATTTTAGTGTTTTACTGTACATGTATCTGTTTTATGTGAACTTGAACTAAAATGGCGTCCGTGCTTGTGCAATTTGTATGTACAGTATACAGTGTGGGGATTGAAAAAAAGACATCTGCTAAACAATGTCAGAATTGTTGAAAATTATAGAGAGGTAGTAATCTTTTTTTAGTTAGATGCTATGTATTCTCTGTGATTTAAGTTTTAGTTAAAGGCCCAATTCACTTGCCCGGGGCAAGTGTGAATTGGAGGTATGGCTATGCTAATGAGTGTTGTTAATCACTTGCGTAGCCTATGATGCATCCTGTTTCAGTGGGCCAGCATCACGTGACTTTGACTGACAGTAGTTAATTATTCAAGATTAGTAGCGCGTCCCTTTCCCCGGTTTGTGTTTTTTACTTTTATCCGCCAAAATCTCAGCTTGTACACTATTTATTGTCATAAATACTATGCACAGTCACTGCTGTGATATTCATAATCACATACATCCACTTTACCACGACATAATCAACCTGTAAGTTCGAGAAAACGCGTTTTTACCGGAGCTTGGCTGGAGCTGTTTACTACAGCGTGACAAGCAAGGAAATAGTCCCTATTGTTTAGGGGCGTATTTATAGTATACCTGGGCCTTTAAGGTAGAAGCCTACTCATGAATCCAAATACCCAGAATTTATTCATTCTTCAAAAAATTGTACTTCTAGGCAATATAAGGATATTGACTTGGGGGTCACCAGCTTAATATTTGAGACAATTATTGTTTTATTTTTAATGGATAGTGGCCATTTTGACAGTATTATAATGCTTTTACCATATGTTCCTATAGCACAGATATTGTACCATATCTCAATTTTTAGCCTGTTCTAAATTATCTCAACAATCTGGGTTTTAAAAAATACAAAAAAAAATAAAGTTTTTCTTTAACATTGTGGTCTATGGAATTGCTTAAAAGAAATAGAAATTTTTCAAAAATATTACGAGCTGTTTCTCAAAATACGTCACTGTAACACACAAAAGAATGCTATTTTATGGTGTCATGGGACAATAGCTCCATAAGTTTACATAATATACCAATGAACACTGGTCACTGGTAGCATAGTGGTTGTTGCATCAGACTCATGATCAGTAGACCGAAGTTTAAATTCTACCTGAGGCAGAACATTAAAGGGTCGACCCCTACCCTAGGTGAGTGTGCCACAGACTCAATGGGAAGGTCAATTCCACTGGCCGAGATTCATTAACTAACGAATACGTCTTTGGTGCTTGTATTCGACCATGTAAGGTACTAACGGAAGGAGCCACGACGTTATTGTTTTAGCTTTGCCCCCTGATCGTTTGTCAATGTTTGTTCACAAACATTGGTTCTCGTTAGCTCCTAACACCTTCGTACAATGGGTTATGCTAGTCTCGAGGACTCGGTAATATTCGGAGCCTGTTTGGAAGCGATAGACGAACCTCGCATGTACAATACTGAAAATGTCGTCTAGTTTGAATGCTCTTGTTTCCGGAGATCTTGGCGAACTTTAATGAAAAATTGGCAGATATAACATCGATTGAAGAAGAACTGATGAACTATCATGAATCTTTTTGTATTTGTAATGGTGATGAGACGTAATCAATGATTACCTGTGACAATAACAACTGCATTATTCAATGGTACCATTGTCATTGCGTGGGTTTGACGCCCGAAACTGTTTGAAATTTTCGACCACCGGGCATCGGCGAACACCATAAAGATATTATCAAAAGAAGGGCATGCCTTGACACTTTTACTGTGATAATATTTTTTAGAAGTCCTTAGGAAATTTTGTTGTAGCCACTCGAAATATTGTTCTTGTTACAGTTGCTAATAACTAAAACATGTGAAATCTGTGAAGTCAAACGTTCATCTGTTAAATTTCCGGTTGTGAAATACGTATTTTGACCCTTCACACCTAAACAAACCAAGTGCGCATGTGTGATGACCGTAGTTTTATAATGCGCATATATTTTATGGTCACATTTAAAAATCGACGGGGTTGTATCATATTCCGCTAACTCGTTACTT